TTGTACAGTGTCCCAACTTTTTTGGAATTGGGTTTGTATTTGTGTGTGTGTATGCATTATTCTTGCAAAAATATATGGACTAAACAATCTCTTGTAGTAATTGTTTCTTTTATTTACGGTTCAATCAAATCACAAATTACATTAAACTCTATGCATATTTTTCTAGTACAATGTTTGATTATTATAAGAAAACTAAATAGTATTTTAAAGTGGTTATATCCTTAGAAAAACTAGCTTTGTTTTTACACAAGTCATTAAAATGTAAATACCATTTTTTCTAAACACAAAAAAAGCAATATTCTTAAATGCACGTCATGTTCTCAGTTTAAAATCATATTATTGTCTCCGGGATTATGAACACACCACAGCAAGTGCAGTTTTTTTTTTTAATTGCTCACACAGCAGACATCACTTCACTATATAAGAGATGAAAACACCAAACAAACATGAAGAAGACTAATGAATCACAGTCACTACAAACACAGGACAGTTTTTCATTACTCTCCATGTGTTATCTAAGACATTTATTTCTTTCTTTCTTTCTTAGGCAGAATCTTTCCATAATACGTTTATCTGATGACAAAATCTTCCAAACAATCCTTTATTTTCCTCCTGTGCTCTTCTCTTAAGTTCCTCAAGTTTCAGAACTCTGTCCTGTTTCCCAGTCTCTTTCATTTTCTCAATCATGAAGTCCAGATGTTGGATAGAGGACATGGATGTAGATTTTAATGCTGTCTCCATTAATTTTTCGAAACACTGATAACACTCTTCCACAAGTCTGATCTTCTCTGCCTCTTCCCATTTTATCTCATTTTCTAATTGGGTCTCTAATTTCTTTTTATCTCCGAATTCCTTCTCATATTTATTTTTCAGATCCTCTTTTGTTCTTTTGACCCTTTTGGTTTTAATCTCATATATATAATCATCTTTCTCATGTTTAGTGTGGAGACATTTCTTAGTACAGACTGTACACTTTCCCTCTGACATCACACTGCATTTCGAAAGATTACTGACCCACCAGCA